TCGATATCGGTAAAACAAACAACTTTCCCATCTCTCGACTAGCATGCGCCCTCGCTGCATGAACAGCACTCGGTACAATTGTATTAGACATTAGCAATTCGACCGATGTATTTATTGTGCTAGCTCTGTGTACATTTGTTTTTTATATTCTATCGATATGCAACTTACAACACTAGCAATCCTTTAATATCAAAACATACTTCATCTTCGTATTAAATTGTTTTGTTAAAATACAATATTATTTACTGCAAACTAAATACCTTATCATTACATAGTATAAAACAAAGTCACTGTCGCTGTCTGTCCGTCCCTATGTATGCTTAATCTTTAAAACTACGCAACGGATTTTGACGCGGTTTTTTTTAAATAGATAGAGTGATTCAATAGGAAGGTTCATATGTACAATACATGTACACCCGGGCGAAGCCGGGACGTGTAACTAGTTACATAGTATAAAACAAAGTCGCGATCACTGTCTGTCCGTCTCTATGTATGCTTAAATCTTTAAATCTACGCGACGGATTTTGGAGCAGTTTTTTTTAATAGATAGAGTGATTCTAGAGGATAATTATATATGTAATACACGTACACCCGGGCGAAGCCGGGGCGAGTAGCTAGTAAAATATAATATAACAACTAAAATATATTATTAAAAGGAGTCCTTTTAGGCAACGTTCCATTGATACTGGCAGTGTTCCCTCTTTGAATGGCTAGACGAATTCTTTGTCCGAGGTAGCTGCCAGCTCTTCAGTCTCCTGTGATATAGACTAACCTTTTTATTATTTCCTTAAAAAGTTTATAGTTTCTATTTAACTTTTCACGGATGTTGTAGTACAGGTTTTTCTATAGTATAGGGGGCAAACGAGCTTGCAGCTCACCTGATGGTAAGTGATTACCGCCGCCCATGAGCACCTGCAACACCAGACGAATTGCAAGTACGTTACTGCGCTTTAATAACAAATCGATAGAAAAATTAATATGTATTATTGTAAACATGTATAACATTTATTTGAAAAGAATACGAGCTGAGTTTCTTGTCAGTTCTTCTCATCTCGAAATCATTCCAAACTGACGGTAGATTTGACATATCATAAGCCTGTAATAGACCTACATGAAAAAAGATATTTTGAATTTGAATTTGAAATTGTTTTCTTGAAGGTGTGATTACCATATTTTGTACATAGGCGACGGTTACCGTTTACTATCAAGTGAGCCGTTTGTTTGTCATTTCAACTATATATAATGACGACTCGTTAAAATCTATATCGGCAAATTTATAAATTTAATATATATAAGTATATTCTAATTTGTTCTATTTTTCAAAATAGAGCTGTGCCCTTTTTTTGAATTATTTTAGTAGAAAAATTAGGAATATTTACAGATGGCAACACTAATCTGATAGCAACATCTGCAATTAAACTGATGTGTATATTTCGTGTCGTGGATCATTATTGCTTTGGTACAAAACGATGTAATGATACGGTATCACTTATTATTTATTCAGAATAATAGGACCGGAGGGTGTTGAACTTGCCTTCAGACTGCTCCAACGTGGATCGATGAAGGCGTTTGAAAGGAGTCTATCAGTTCCATCATTTAACACAGTTATAGCACTTTCCGTTTTATATTAAATAACTAGCTGTGCTCACGGTTGCACACGCCTGAAATTTAGCTTTTGGCAACTTCGTCTGCATCAGAAAGAAAGAAAGAAAGAAAGAAAGAAAGAAAGAAAGAAAGAAAGAAAGAAAGAAAGAAAGAAAGAAAGAAAGAAAGAAAGAAAGAAAGAAAGAAAGAAAGAAAGAAAGAAAGAAAGAAAGAAAGAAAGAAAGAAAGAAAGAAAGAAAGAAAGAAAGAAAGAAAGAAAGAAAGAAAGAAAGAAAGAAAGAAAGAAAGAAAGAAAGAAAGAAAGAAAGAAAGAAAGAAAGAAAGAAAGAAAGAAAGAAAGAAAGAAAGAAAGAAAAATATTTTATTCAGTGCAATGTAAAAAATAAAATAAAATCACACCTGACATTTATTATATTTCGCCAAATTTACATAATGTATTTTTCAATTATAGCCTATGTGTTATTCTGATGTATAAGGTATATTATAGTAAAGTTTCATTAAAAGCCATTCAGTAGTTTTTGCGTGAAAGACTAACAAACATTCATTCATAGTCACTAACTTTCGCATTTATAATATTAGTAGGTTCTAGGTGCTGAAAATGAATGTGGATGGTTATAAGGGCAGAGAAAGGCCGAAAAAGAGATGGACTGTGTGAAAGATGATATGGTAAGAAAGGAAGTAAATGACGAGATGACTGCGAACAGGGATGAATGGAAGAGAAAAACATATTACGACGACCACGAATAAATGGGATAAGGAAGAAGTAGATGATGATAGGAGCTAAAAATGATTATGAAAGTATATTACAAAAATTAAAAAATCATTTATTCATGTAGGTCATTTTAGCCACTTATGAACGTTAAATTTTTTATATTATAATTTTTTCCCTACCGTCCATCTCAGTATATGATTAAATGGAGAAGAACCGGGCAGGAAACTCAATTGATTTTTTTTTAAAGCCAGTTAATATATAATGTATATTTATATAGGTGTCTATGTCTAACATTAAATGAAAATCCAGTGCATGAACAACTATTGCCATGCACGCTCGTCATTCAAGTAATCGTTTAGTGAGTAATAGACTTTGCTCAGTAAATATGATTTGACAGTTGTTTTGAATTTATTTAAAGGTAATTCCAGAATTTCATTCTATCTTATTGTAAATTTTTATATCTATTCCCTTAAAAGACCTATTGTATTTTTTAAAACGATACTTGGGGACAGCAAGTTTGTCTTTAAATCTAGTATTAATATTATGAATATTGCTGTTTTTTGGATATAGGTGTATATAAATTGAGAAGTAATATTGAGAATATTTATATAGTACTCTAGGTATATAGAAATTGGGCTATTATTATGAAAGTTTCATGAATTCTATGAATGTACACAGGAGCTCATAAAGTGGCTACAAATTGTACAAATTAGTAGGCACTGGTCCCTCGTTAATTACTAATTACAAGAGGGAGATAATAGGCGGGGTGATGCTGCGGCTTTGTTCTTATATGCGTATTGTCCCCTTTGTAGAGCTTCCACGTATATACTAAACTAATTTTGTAAACAGGGCCCGACTATGGCGCACTTGTATAAAAGTAATAATAATAATCGTGAAAAACCAGTATAAGCTGTTAAAATTAAGAATAATAATAGTAATATATTTAACTCCACATAAACATTAATTATCTAAATATATATAACTCAAAGGTGACTGACTGACTGACATAGCGATCTACCAACACGGATAAAATAGGGGATGAAAGTTTTTATGAAACTTTGTCAATTTTAAACCGATCGGGCTGAGACTTTCCATGCATAAAGCTACTATGACGTAGGCATCCCCTAAGAAAGGATTTTGTTAAATTCCACCTCTAAGGAGATAAAATAGGGGATGAAAGTTTATATGAAACATTGTTAATTTTAAACCGATCGGGCTGAGACTTTGCATGCATAAAGCTACTATGACGTAGGCATACCCTAAGAAAGGATTTTGGTAAATTCCTCCCCTAAGGAGATAAAATAGGGGATGAAAGTTTATATGAAACATTGTTAATTTTAAACCGATCGGGCTGAGACTTTGCATGCATAAAGCTACTATGACGTAGGCATCCCCTAAGAAAGGATTTTGTTAAATTCCACCTCTAAGGAGATAAAATAGGGGATGAAAGTTTTTATGAAACTTTGTCAATTTTAAACCGATCGGGCTGAGACTTTCCATGCATAAAGCTACTATGACGTAGGCATCCCTTAAGAAAGGATTTTGTTAAATTCCACCTCTAAGGAGATAAAATAGGGGATGAAAGTTTATATGAAACATTGTCAATTTTAAACCGATCGGGCTGAGACTTTGCATGCATAAAGCTACTATGACGTAGGCATACCCTAAGAAAGGATTTTGGTAAATTCCACCTCTAAGGGGATAAAATAGGAGATGAAAGTTTGTATATATCTTCTTAGATTTTCGACTGATTGAACTGAAATTAATGATTGGAGATACTATGATGAAGACGCTCGCTTAAATTTAAATTTTTTATTTTATTTATACGTAACAAAAACGGCCTCGGTAGTCAAGTGGTGTAGCACACCGCCTTACTTCCGATGGTCGTGGGTTTGATTCCTCGCACGGCACAAACATTTGTATTCATGAGTGTGACACGGGTGTAAATTTAAAAGGCTCTTTTAGAATGCATTAACACTCACCTTCACTACTTGCAGCTTCCCCCCAGGCCCAACTAGACCGGGATAAACCCATTTCTAATACAATTCACTTTAGTCTCCAAAACACAACCGGCGCGCCCTGCGCTTGTAGACTGAATGCCGCGGCTCACCCAACGAAAGAGCATTATTCAACTACCGACCTCCGTATTTATAGACCGAAGTCAGTCTAGTAGGTCGGTCTATAAATACTAGATGGCGCTATTTACAATATTTGTTATAATCTTTACATTGGATACTTCATTAGTACTAAACACAAACTACCTTCTTTTAATATCATTTTAAAATATCGGAGTTTTCTACAATATTGATGTGAACTCTAACACTTATGAATAAAAAATATATAGATGCATGTATAAAAATAAGGATTGAACAATTATTTATAGCAGAAAACACTAACTACTAACACCTGCTCTACCCCAAGCAAAGCCGGGACACCAGTGTAAAGTGGCAGACAGACTGATTTCAATTAATTGCATTTTTGGATGTAAAAAATAATTATTTTATGTTTATTTTTAATTATGGTAAATTAAGTTTAATTATATGTACATTTTATTTGCTCTTTTTTTTTTCGTTTGTTGTTTATATTGTATTTTTTACATTGCACTGAGTAAAATATTTTTCTTTCTTTCTTTCAAATTAGAAAATGTTTGGAAAAAAACTAAGTTTCTTTTTTACTTTTTCAGGTGACTACGAAAAACGCATACAGCAAGAACTGCTTCTTCGTCATTATATAGTGGTAAGTTTTGTAATTGAATTATTTATGTATAAATATACTTATGGTCGAACACTTCGAGTACGTTATGGTTTAAATGTTTACTACCCAGCATACACCCCAGAAGTCGTAAGTTCTAATCGTGGCGACAAAAATTTTTTTTGTTAGGAGCTATAGTTTGTATCTCCTCAGGATGGAGTGTAAACTTTCCAAAGGAGATATTACGTTTATGCATGAGTGGGCTACAACTAGAGAATACGATACCGATTAGTGATTTTAATCCCGGGATTTCTTGATTACTGAAAGATTATCTTTCAGTAGTTTAGCTAGAGGATTTCTCAGTTCCGGATCCCGGAGTCCGTCCCGGGATCAATTTCGGAATGCAGTGGCAATGAAAAGTCGTTAAATTATTTTCAATCATTCTATTTTTATTTTGGTAATAGGTGATAGTTTCATTCTAATTGCTTCTAATTTCATAGAAGACTAGTATTTGTAGTCTACAAATTGTAATACATATTTGTCACATAAAATCCCGAGATTTCGACCAGGATCCCGGGATCCCGAAACCGGAAAATCCTCTAGCTACAACCACATAGGTTCTCTATATATACAGTCAGCTCGTGACCACGGCTAGTGCAACCTAGTCGAAACGTCGAGAGAGGTAAATACCTTTATTTGCCATAAAATTTGTTCGTGTTAAGACCCGGTTAATAACATAAATAATGTATATAACCACGAAAGTTTAAAAATAACTATAGGTTCTCTAGTTTCCCATTACAATTACATAAAAAAAATGTAACATTTTTGGACCAATGTGGCCCACACCTCAGCAAGTGGTAAAACAAACAGACAGACATAAAACAGCGGACGGATGTCGTGGCGTCATTTGCGCGGGCGCATCGTATAAATCGTTCGACGCGCGCATTTCGCTGTCAGCGCGCGCGCAGCGAAGTTAACGTGTCACAGGTTCAGTGCTGACTAAACAAACACGATGTGATTTATTTTAACTTATATATACACTATCGCAGTTAATAAACAAGTTTTTACTTCACAAATGAATCGTAACACATGGTACTTAAGGTTTAATAAATATAAAAAATACCTTTTATTAATCATTTATTATCATTACATAGTATAAAACAAAGTCGCTGTCGCTGTCTGTCCGTCCCTATATACATATGTTTAAATCTTCAAAACTACGCAACAGTTTTTGAAGCGGTTTTTTTTAATAAATAGTGATTCAAGAGGAAGGTAGATATATAAAATACATGTACACCCAGGCGAAGCCAGGGCGAGTAGCTAGTTTATTAATATAAGAATGGAATAGAAATTTCTAAGTAATTTCTAATTCTAAGAAATTTCTAAGTAGAATACAATTTTCATGAGTAAGTTTAGTTAAATAAAGAATTTAACTAACTCATGTACACAAATGTTTATGTAGACTATGCGAGGAATCGAACCCTCGATCATCGGAGTGCTAAACCGCTGTACCACCGGGACGTCTAAATAAAGAGGGACTTTGGATAATATGTTATAATACTATATTAAACAGATATTAAATATTATTTTCATCTTGGGAATAGAATTTTTGTTTTATATTATTTGACATAAATATAGTATATATTACTATAAGTTGTAGTATATAGTTACTATACCATTTCGCGTGGCCATACAATCAAGTGACGGATGCAAATGTGTACACAAAACAAATTTACTGCAACTCGTGCGCATCTCAACACATCGGCATACGACGTGGGTGGCCTCTCAGCATTCGTCCTGTGTTAATTTTGCAACATTGTCATTTGCTATAAGAAAACTGTTACATTGTTGAGATACGGTTAAAGAACTAATTTTTAAGAACTAACAATAAGACAATATATAATTATATATATGTCAAATCTAAATATATATAACTCAAAGGTGACTGACGTAGTGATCTATTAACGCGCAGCCCAAACCACTGGACGGATCGGGCTGAAATTTGGTGTGCAGGTAGACGTTATGACGTAGGCATCCGCTAAGAAAGGATTTTGATTAATTCTACCCCCAAGGGGATAAAATAGGGGATGATAGTTTGTATGAAACTTTGTCACTATTAAACCGATCGGGCTGTGACTTCGCATGCATAAAGCTACTAAGACGTAGGCATCTCCTAAGAAAGGATTTTGATAAATTCCACCCCTAAGGGGATAAATTACCGCGAGCGAAGCCGCGGGCAAAAGCTAGTAAGTAAGTAGTTTTAATAGATAGAGTGATTCTAGAGGAAGGTTTATATGTATAATACATGTACACCTGTTAAAAGCCGGGGCTGGTAACTAGTAAAAAATAAATGAATAAAAATTGATCAGAAAATAAAAAAATGTTAGCGGTGGACACCCCTAAGTGATACTTAAGGGTGTGAAAAATAGATAGTAGTCGATTCTCAGACCTACAGAATATGCATATAAAATTTCATAAATATCAATCAAGCTGTTTCGGAGGAGTATGGTAACTGACAGTGTGACACGAGAACTTTATATATAAGATACAAAGTAGACAAAGTTGCGGGCTAAAACTAGTATTTAGTGAATGGTAAACGACTCGAAACTATCGGATATTCAAATAAGAACATGTGCGTAATTAAGTTAGTTTGTACCCTTAAAGGGTCACATTGAGAAAACTTGTAAATTAATACTATGGGCTGCATCAGGACTTGCGGTCTCTTGGAGTATCCTCTGCTGATTTGTACCTACTCATAGTTTAACTATTATTTACCTAAAATACACTTTATAAAAAGTCATCTTGCTGCGGTTTTTCTTTATGGATAGTAATGGTACGGTTGACTTGCCTGCGCTAACGGGGCACCAGTGGAGGATGATAAGATGAGCATTAGGTCAGGTTAATTAGCCCATCATGAGATATCCGTCAGGAATTTATCATGATGGTTTCCAGGAACCACGTGGAGGTCAACTTGACACAGTACATGCGGTTTTTTTAATGAATGGTAATGGAATGCTGCATCGCTTGCACTATTGCAGTGTTGGAGGAAAGGTGAGCATGAGGTCAGGTCAGTTAGCTCATCATGACATGAATATGTCATGATGGGCTAATAATCCCAGTGCTAACAATGTACGCAGTTCCCCCTGGAAACTATTCATCAGGAATTTAACAGGATGGTTTCCAGAGGGAAAACAATGTACGCAAACTGACCTCATGCTCATCTTATCATCCACCACTGGTGCCCCGCCAGCGTAAACCGTTAATGTAGCACCATTCCATTATCATCCATTAAAAAAACCGCATGTACTGTGTCAGGTTGACCTCCACGTGGCCAGGGGGAACCGCTTTGCTAGCAATAGGGTCAACAGACCTCATTACTAACAATCCTTTCCCCCCCCCCCTCCCCATCCTGCTGCAGATAAAATAGGGTTATGAGGAGTAGGATAACCTCATCTTTTGTTGCGTTTTTCGTTTAGACAGTATACACACACTCGCGACCATGTCCGTGTGGAAATTTAATTTAATTTTCTAAATTAAAACCAGCCTAAGTCACTCCTTATTACATTAGGTACCTGCCAAAAAAGTCCCGTCAAAGTCGGTCCAGCCATTTCAGAGATTAGCCGGTACAAACAGACAAACAGACAAAAATTTTATAAAATGTTATTTTGGTATATGTACCATATTTATATACATATGCGTGTAGTAAAAAACGGTGAAATAACCGTTTTATATTTTTATATAGAATACAAACAGACACTCCAATTTTGTATATATGTATAGATGCACAACAAGGACGTATTATATGTAGTGGCGTAAGACCAAAATGTGTGCTCAATCACGATATGATGGTAGGTAATCCCTTACCGCCGACATTGACCATACAGAGAGAAACCGCGGCCCGTATTCATAGTCCACTACCTAAAACTTCTATTCACTTATTTAATTAAGTCTCGTATTCGTGAATTACTACACATCCCAAAGAAAGAAAGTAGCGGACGCTTAATAAATAAATATAATATCTTAGTAATATTATAAACGCAAAAGTTTGTAAGTATGGATGGATGTTTGTTACCCTTTAACGCAAAAACTACTGAACGGATTTTGATGAAACTTTACAGTAATATAGCTTATACATTAGAATAATATATACATGTAGGCTATAAGTTACACGCGGATGAAACCGCGGACACAGCTAGTATTTTAAATAATATTGGTTAATATTATTAAATGCGTATAAATATATAGCGATATATAATATATAGCATATATACAAATAAATAAAATTTAAGTGTCTGTTTGTAATTTTAAATTAGCAGCTTTTCACTAAATGCATATGAAAGTATATACGGTAATTACATAAAAAGATATTTTTTTTTATCTGTTTTTGTTCTTAATACAAGTTTCCGAAACGACTGGACCAATTTTTACAGGACTTTCAATCAAATGTTTATACGGTACTTGCAACAAAAAAAGTATTTTTATATTTTATGTCTGTCTATTTGTTCTTGCTGATCTTGGAAACGACTGGATCGATTTTTACAGAACCTTCAATCGCAGATAGCTAATGTTATAAGGAGCAATTAGGGTAATTTTATTTTAGAAATTTAATTTATTAATTTTAGAATAGAATAGATTAGAATAGAAAATCATTTATTCAAATAAACTTACCTTGAAGCACTTTTGAATAGTCATTACTTTATTTTAATCTACCGCTCATTCGGAAAGCTGTCTCATCACAAGAAGAACGAGCTTGAAATTTGCGTGTTGCTCTTTTAAATAATTTTATTATTTCTTTACATTTTTAAGTTTAAGGGGGTCTTCCTATGTGACGGCCTGTTTTTTAGGGATATTTTAGGATTTTTTTTTCTACGACCAGTAAATATTTAGAGCTTCAAGTTTTTTATCATTTATTAACACATATTTGGACAGTATAAATATAAAATTTCAGCTAAAAATATTCAGTCAAACTAGAGTTACAGCGCTCTGAACACCCCCGCCTCGAAAAAAAGAGCTCCCACTTCCTCCACGATTCCGGCTGATCGGCT